AAGGCGAGGGTAGGGGGCAGATTATAAAGCACAAGGTTAGCATTTTGAATCTTACTGCTAATGGAATGGGAAATGATTAGAAACCTAGTTGTAGATTTTAAAATAGTATTCTGGTTGTTCATTGGAGAGGGGTTGGGATAGGATGAGGGCAAGACAGAATGCAAACTGGGAAGGCAATAGTTGAATTAGTGAAATGATGGTTTAAATTATGGTTAAGTGAATTTGGAGTTCAGATCTGGAGCTATCTTAAATATGTTAATTTTGAGTGCTATTGGACTTTCAATTGCAAATGAGTTGAGAGGTGTGCTCTAGATAAAAGCTTTGAATTGGAGAAAGGTAAAGTGCTGAATTTCTTCACAAATGAATGAGGTTACTTAGGAGGAGATTGTAGGACTCAGAATCGAGCCTTGAAACATTCCAAGATTTGGAGATTCAAGAGAATGTGGAGTCAAAATTAGGATGTTGAGAACCAGGTAAGCGAGCTATGTACTATAGAATCTTTATAGCTGGGAAAAAAATGTGTTCCTGGAGGAAAGACAGAGTCAATTATGCTAATTGCTGCTGAGAGCTCTAGGAATCTGAATTGAATTTCTTTATATTGGTGACTTAGTGAAGTCCTAGGACATGTTCAGGAAAGCAAGAAAAAGGAAGCTACGAGGGCTTTGTAAGGCTTGAACAGATAGAAGGAATAGAACAAAGTACAGGAAACATATTTGTAACATAATTTAAAAGGGGCTACTCATTTTAACATGTAAATATCTTCTAAAAATTGACTCATTAAAAGGGCCAAGCCTGTAATTCAAGCAGTGATCAGGAGGACTGTGGCTCAAAGCCAGTCCCAACAGATAGTTTGCGAGACAAAACCCATTACAAAAAAAGGACAAAGTACTGCAAAAAAAAAAAAAGGCCAAAATCTGATAGAAAATGAGTAAGAGACTTAAATATAGAATTCACAACAAAAGAAATGAGAATTGTTCTTGCTCATATGAAAACAAAAACTAATAATTGAAAATAATAATAATAAACTCTAATAAAAAATATACAAAGATAACAGTTCTCATCCAGCCAGTGGCCAATAATCTAAAAGCTTAATACTTTTCTCATACATTGCTTGGAGTACAAACTTACAAACTGTACAACCTTTGTGGTTGGGAAACTGAGAACATATCAAAATTGTGGATGTAATTTATCAGCAATCCCATTTCTAGAGACTGTGCCCTTTAAGGCCAAAAGTGGAGAGTTTCAGTTTCAGGACTCCCTTAAGTTTTAAAAAAATTGTGAAGAATTTTTTTCTGAAGCAAATTATTAAGAAGAATGGCAAACCTCTCCAGTTTATGGTTTTTTTAATATCTGCTTCTACTTTCTGTTTGTTGCACTATGTTGTTGTGGTTGTAGTTTGGTTTAAATTGATCTCATATAGATATGTATTGGGAGAGAACATTCTAATAGTATTCTCAGATAATCATTTGTCTTTCTGTAATTCTATCAATTAACTTTTTTTGCATTCTGTTTCATTAAATCTATCAGTCTGACATAATTTAAATACTTCTTTTACCCTTGTGTAATAATGTAACAACAAGTATTGATCATTTGGGATATGGGCTTCGAATCTGCAGATCTTCCAAATGTTTATACATTTCATTATGCAATACCAAAAATCAAATTTATTAATATCACTATCAACCTCACCAAAAAAGACTAAGTATTAGAAAGCTATCAAGTTTATGATGGTGAATATAAGTTTTCCAAAATAATAATTTTTACTTAAAAGTTCCAATTTAATCACTGGCAGCTAATAGTTAAGTTGTTCGGGGTTTTTTGAGACAGGGTCTCCCTATGTAGCCCAGACTGACCTCAAATTTACTGTCCTCCTAAGTCCACCCCCTACAATGTTGGAATTTCAGGTGTGCACCAATATGCCAGGTTTCAGTTTTTTAAAATCAAAAATGTTATTAACAAGTAGTGTCTAGCATAAATATCAATTCAAGCAGTGACAGAAAGGCATTTTCTTTTTTCTTCTTTTTTATTTTGGTCGGCCTGGGGTTTGTATTCAAAGCTTTGCACTTGCAAACCAAGAGGCCTTCTGCTTGAGCCATACCACCAGTACGTTTTGTTGTGGTTATTTTGGAGATGGGGTCTCTCAAACTATTTGCCAGGGCTGGCCCAGAACTGAAATCCTTGTATTTTTCATCACCAATATTAAATAAATCCTATACTTTAATATTAAACTTTTCATGAAAACACATATTGCTAAATAAAAGAAGTTCCCTTTCAAAAAACAAGCTGGGAATTAAGGGCTGGCAGAGTGGCCCAAGGGGTAGAGTATCTGCATAGTAAGTATGAAGCCCAGTCCCTCCAAATAGATATATATTAAATTAAATTTAAAAACTGGGAATTTGCAAGTATGTCGAGATTTAAAAAAAAAAAAAGTACAGTATGTAGCCAGGCACTGGTGGCTCATGCCTGTAATCCTTGCTATTTGGGAGGCTGAGATCAGGAGGATGGTGGTTCTAGGCCAGCCCAGGCAAATAGTTTGTGACACCCTATCCCAGAGCAAGATGGACTGGAGGTGTGGCTCAAGCAGTAGAGCACCTCCTTTGCAAGTGTGAGGTTCTGAGTTCAAACCCCAGTAGTCGCTCCCCCATCACCACAAAAAAGTAAAACATGCTGTCTATTAGTAATGTAAGACCTGGCACTTTTGTCTTCATCAAAAAAGTAACTCAAATCTTGGGACAACACTTTGAAAAGTTCTATTTTAAGATGTACCTAAACAAGAGGAGTGCCACTGGCTCACGCCTGTAATCCTAGCTACTCAGGAGGCAGAAATTAGAAGGATCACGGTTTGAAGCCAGCCTGGGCAAATAGTTCAAGAGACCCTATTTTGAAAAAACCTTCACAAAAAGGGCTGGTGGAGTAGTTCAAAAGATGTAGGCCCTGAGTTCAAACCCCAGTACCACACCAAAAAAAAAATCATGTGTACCATATTAATCTACTTAAGGATTATAAATGTGTTTGTATAACTTAAACATTAAATCAAAAAGAAAAAACAGGAAAAAGTTTAGTTGGGAGTAAGGGCAAGGGGAGAAGTAAGAAGGTAACTGGTATTCCTGGGACCTGTCATTGTCAGAAGAGCCAGAGTGGAGACACACGTGACTAGAAGAGAGGGTTTGAGAGACTGGTTTTCATGTTATGATGTCACTCAGTAATGAGTGAGTTAGACAAAGAAACTGAGCCATCCTGGCCTTCAAGGTCCGGAGGTTACACAAGTGGTAGAGCACCTGCCCACAAACAGGCCTTCGTTGGGGAAAAGTTTCTAAATTCAGGAGGAATATATTTAAACAATGTAATTAAGATAATATTTGTTTAAAAGGATAGAAATATTGATTGAAGGCAATCCTATAATTGGATACAGAAATGGGAATGCAGAGCACAGATCATTTGTTTCCTGGAAAACAAAACAAAGCAAGACATTATGCTCTGTCCCTTTCATATTTTTGCAAAGCTTTTTTTTTTTAAGGGTATGTGAATAGAAACACCTTCATTACAAAAAAACAAAAGAATAAACACAAATTCACATTGTCTCGAGCTACGATATGACAGCAGATGTAAAGGTATTAGTTGCACAGGGTAGTTGAAGGGAACACCTAACGACATACTCTTGGGGGTCACAAGACAGACCAGAGCCGGGGGTACCCAGCTGCGCCCGGGGCAGTGGGCATCGCTGCAACTGCCCATGGTTCTGTCCTGGAAGTGACCTTTGTCCCCGTGACGCTGCTATGCCCTGAGGCGTGGGTAGTTCCTGAGTGACGTCTGTACTGAACAAGGTATGCTGTCTGTCCAGCTTTATCTGGGGCAGTTGGGCCCAGGTGGCAGGTTCTGCAGTCAGCTCTCTTCCCTTCCCTCGGGCCATGTGCATGCGGACCACACCCTGGCCTCTGTTCCCTTTCTTGAGGCACCAGGTTCATCCAGAACCAGGCAGTCTGTTTGGCCGCCTCGGCACATGGCACACATGTGTCCCTCATCGTCACTTAGGTGGAGCAGCCTTGGAGCCCAATGCGTGGCCAGCCTCCGGAGACAACATTCTGTCTGTCCTCTGCCCGTCCGCCCATCCGGGTCACCAATGAGCGCCTCTGCCTGCCTGCCGAGGGACTAGGGTGCAGCCTCCTGATCTCCTTTTCCATGCTTTCTTAGGGCCAGTACCTTACCTTGCCACTGCTTGTGAATTTTTTTCAGTACTGGAATTTGAACTCAGAGCCTCCTGCTTGCTAGGCAGGGGTCTACCACTTGATCCACAACCTCAAATCCCAAAGATGTTTTTGAAATTTTCCTTAATGAGCAGTTACAGTCAAACAAGCTGTGGCACTTTGAGTGCTAAATTTAAGGAGACTTCCAACTCTTAGGCTTACATGCACCTTAGGTATCTCATTTGCACCTAAATTTGGCACTCAGGCACTTCTTTAAGAAGCACCCAAAGAGTGCCTCACTTTCTGATTCTTGCCGAAGGCTAGGAGAATGAGTGGCACCTTAAGTCCCTGTGCAGTTTGCACCATGAATGCTTGGCCTTGCCTCACCCATGTTCAAGTTCTGTTGTTCCTCCAAGGCACTGTGTCTTTTACTGAGCACTTCTTTGTAAATGACTTAGGGAGTACTGGACTATGCTGTTGCTTGTGGTAACTATTCAACCTGTTACTTAAATTTCAGAAAACTGAGGAAGACCCTCCGATACAAGAACATTACTGTGACTGTGACTCCTTCCTCAAGTATGTGACTATCAGAAATTTGGTGCATCTGAGGATTCCTGGATGTGCAGAGCTGCTCTATCTGCTCCGTCTGCGTGGATTGTCTCCTTGGGTCTTGGATGCATCATTGTGGACCCTGAGGTTATCAAGTGTGCCTGCTCCAAAACACAGAGGCAGCCTACTCCTCCCCTCCTGTGCAGAGTGCAGGGACATACTCCATATTAGGAACGCATTAATCTTCAACTAGGGACGCCTACTACAATGTCCAAAAGGCTCAGCCTCCAGTTGGAGCACAATGTCACTGAAGATGCCTGTTGTGAGACACACAGGAAAACAGCACAGCTATTCTGTGATGATGACCAAATCACACTTTGCAGCAAGTGTCACCAGTTCCAGGAGCACAAGTGTCACATGGTATATGGAATACAGGAGGCTGCTGAGAAATACAGAGTAAGCTGTATGCACATCCCAAGACATTCTGACAAATGCTTGACTGGTTGACTGATTGGGCAGATATTCTGGTCCCTCAAAACCATTCTCTTAGTTGGTGTTCATTAAGAAATACCAAATGCTGTATTTAGTTGAACCTTCAACTTTAAGTCTAAGAAAACATATGATCGGGTCTAATAACCTTTTTGTTGTTTAAGAATAGGAATCTAACTATCCTAAAGCAATTAGCTTTAGGATTAAAGCTAATTGTAATTCTGTAATCTATTTCTTTATAGAAGTTATTTCAGGAAATATTGAACACATTGAAGGTGAAACTTGAAGTAGCTAAAAGCATATTGGCTGATGGGCAAGAAAGAATGATGATGATTCAGGTCAGTGGTTATCTTGATTCTTGGGAGAAAATTACCAATAATGTTAGAAAGTGGGTAATATATTGTAAACAAAGTCAAAAGACTAATAACAAAACAGGAAAAATGTTGGCAATCCATGGGGGGGAAGACTGTTAATATCTTAATATATAAGGAGCTCTTCAAAGTCTGTAAGAAAAAGACTAGAAATTCAATTTAAAAAGTGATAAAGATAGTCATTTGGAGAAAAGAAGTACAAATAACTTTCTTGTTTTCATTCTGCTTTTATTTCTTTTGCTTATTTGATCTGTTCATTTTTTTTTAGAAATATGTTTTAAACATAGAAAAAGATTCTTGTAAAAAATACACATGAACTATATTAAATTGTTAGTAAGGTGGATAATTGTAGTTTTCCTTGGCAAAATTCAAAAAGATAATAGTTAAGGTGTAGGAGAATCGAGCATCTCGTGTAGTTTTGGTGGCTGTCTGAATTATGAAACCCTTTAAAGAGCAATTAAGAACTGCTATCCAAATTGAGTGCTCACTATCTGTTAGGCACATTTCCTTGCTAATTTGAAACAGTATCTCCATACTTAACTCTAATCTGTTCCAGGCATATCAGAGTCTGAGCTTTTTCTCTCTCATTTTTTTTAAAGATATACTGGAGTTTGAACTCAGGGCCTCATGCTTGCTAGACAGACACTTTACCACTTGAACCATTCTGCCAGCCCTCTCTCAGTTTTTTTTTTTTTCCTTACTGTGGTTTGAACTCAGGGCCTATGCCTGGAGCCACTCCTCCAGCACCCCCCTGCTTTTTTTTTTTTCAGTACTGGGTCTTGAACTCACAGTCTTCACCTTCAGCCACCTACACTAGCCCAATTTTTTGTGATAGGATTTTTCGAGTTATGGTCTTGCGAACTGTTTGCCTGTGTTGGCTTCGAACCTTGATCCTCCTGATCTTTGCCTCCTGAGTAGCTAGGATTACAGGCGTGAGCCACTAGCGCCCAACTCTCAATTTTTAAAGAATATAAATCTCCAAGAAGAATCACATGGCTGTATAAATAACTTTTCAACCTATCATTTTTTTTTAGCTCTAAACACCATCTCTTCAACCAATATTGTGATTTGCCAGGGACTGGGTGAGGCATGGTGTATTCAGCATTGAAAAAAGTAGTTTTGACCTTGTGGAATTTACAGCCTAGTGAACATAAACAAAATAAGTCAAATCAATAGGATGCTACAAGGAAAGTGCTATAATTTTTTTAAAGCAGAAAAGAAAGTGATGGGGTGCACTTTTATAGAAAGTGGTCAATACCTTGTCATTCAGAAGGTGGCATTTGAGAAAACTCATGGGCATGAGGGATTAAATCACATAGTCATCTTGGGGAAGAATATTTCAGGCAGAGCAAATGGCAGATACAAAGATCTGGAGACTCGTGTACTTAGCTGGGGCTGTGAGAAAGTGGTAGGGACTGTAGGTGATGAGCAGAAGATAGAAGGGCACAATCATCTCAGACACTTAAAGTGAAGTATGCAAATCACTGAAAAGTTTTGAGCAGGGGAGTGACATGATTTTCCATTTTTACAGAAATACGCTTCCAAAGTGAGAAAAGATCATCTAAGAGTAAAAACTACATTGGGGAGACATGAAAAAAAGTTACTATAATCAGGACCAGGTGATGGTGAAGTGTAGTCAAGAGGTTTTGATTCTAATGAGGCTCATGAGATTATATTTTACCTCTAAAATGATTGTTCCCTAATGTGTATCTCTAGCCCAGACTTCAAAATGGAAGACTTTTATATCTAGTTTTCTACTTGGCATCTCTCCTTAGATGTCTAACTGAATAGTCGAATTTATCATAGCTAAAGCTGACTTTCTGATATACTTCCCTTCTCTGGAATCTAGCCTGTCTTTAGTTTCTCTTTCTACATTTTGTTAACTATTCTTCCAGTTGTTTGGTATAAAAACTTTGATATCTTCCATCCTTGACTCCATTTTTCTCACACTCCTCTATCCATAAAGCGTCACCTTCGAATTTCCTGGTCTCTTCGTCTTTGGTCAGAGGCTGTATCTTTCATAGCTCTCTAAATCAGTTAACATTCCTTTTTGCATGTATTAAGATTGTGTTGATGTCCTGCTGATTTGACTCAAATTCCCTTTGTCTTTGCACTTATGCCTTTTATTTCTGCCCCTGTACTTTATACTTTTTGTCTTTATATTGTTGTGAGATATAGATATAGAATATGTATTTGTGGATAATCTCTCATGCTTAACCTGAAATCTATCATCTGTATCTGAGGAAGGAAGAAGAGCAGAATTTTAAAGAGATGATCGAGTCTGAATATAGGTTAAGGTTCCGGTTGTTGACTGAAGAGAATGAGCTGAACTTTCTGAGACTGAATGGATGCAGATTTGACATGAATTTGAGAGAAGCGAGTCGGAATCAACTGATAAGATTTGACACAGAGCTAGAGGAGAAGTCCCAGGAAATGTTACAGGTAAGATATTTCAGACAACATCCTCATAATATTTGGGAAATGAGAGAAAGAAGAGCTGAACATTATGTCAATTTCAGAATGAGATATCCAGTGATAGCTACAGATGTATTAAAAGTTTGTATATACCCACCTAGCAATTCTGTTTCTGCAGTTGATAAATTGTAGGCATTAGTATTACTATTATAGCATTTATTGATAGCAAGAGCTTAGATACAACCTACATTCATCAATAGGCAAAATACAAACATAATATGGAACGTTCATTACTACAAAATGATCCTGTTTCTATGAATTTATCTTCACACACATATAAAAAGACAAGAGTAAGGTAAAATATACCTATAAAGTTATTTGTTTATGTATATTATATTACTGTGTTATACTGTAAATATATTCATAGCCATATTAAAAGACCTGGATAAAGCAAACACTGTCACATTGGGTTTCAGGAAAGAGTCATATTCAGAATTAAACTTAGAAGCCAGATTGACAGGGCTTACATTTGAGCTCTGGTATTTACTAGCTCCTAGGCGACCTTGGCCTCGTTTACTCTTAGACTCAGCTTCTTTAACCGTGAATGAAGATAACAAATGACTGCTAATTCATAGCATTGCTGTGAGGTTTTTGTGTTGTTTTCTTTGTTTTTCTTTTGTTTTTTGTACTGCTGGGGATCAAACCCAGGACCTTAAACATGCTAGGCAAGTGCTCTACCACCAAGCTATATTTTGGCTGTGTTGTGAGTTTTGAATGAGATACTCTACAGAAAGCTCATTAAATAGTGTCTTGTGTATTTTAAGCAATTGACAAATGTAGGCTTTTTTGCTACTGTCAGAACATTTATTTATTTTTGCAGTACTAGAGCTTGAACTCAGGGCCTTCACCTTGAGCCACTATACCAGCCCTGTTTTTGTGAAGGGTTTTTTGAGATAGGGTCTCACAGAACTGTTTGCCCAGGCTGGCTTTGATCCTCCAGATCTCTGCCTCCTGAATAGCTAGGATTACAGGCATAAGCCACCAGTGCCCTGCTAGACCATTTATTGATAGCAAGAGACACTGTAACATCTATATCTATTGATATAAATAAGACTCAGAAAATAAATTGTGCTACATACATAATATGGAATGGCTTTTTACCAGGTAGAAGGCAATGGGTAGCTGTGCTTATGAATGAGGAATATACTCCAAGAAAATGCAAATTGTCACATTAGCAATAGAGTATAACATGCCATCATTTATGGGGTTTTTTCTCCCCCAAATAACATAATCATGTGCTTATGTGACTAGGTACAGCACATTTGAAAGGATAAAAAGGAAACTGATATCAGTGGCTTAATTAGTGTTTCTTATTAATTGATATAATTTAACATTTAAATAAATTATAATGGCTTTATTTAAGTTCAATTTAGTGATGGAAATATTAAACTTCTTGAATAAAATACCATAGCAAAGAGAATGTGTTTTAGGCGCACACTGTTAATCCCAGTAAGTAGATTACATGCGTACATGTCTACCTCAGCTTTAACATATTAGGTATCAAAGAGTCAAATTGCTAATAAAAGGTATCCTGATTCACACCTTACCTGATTAAGGCCATGGCAGGCAGAAGAAGTGTTTTGAAGACATGGTTGAATTAATAAATAATCAAAGATATCAGTTATTGAATAGTAATTAAGAGGTGTTTCTACAGAGACTGGACTGTGCGGTAAGAGAGAATGTGAATAAACTGAAGGAGAATGAAGTCAGAGTTTCTGAACAGCTCTGTCATCTCCAAAGGATCACCATGGAGCTTGAGAAGAAGTGCAGGGAGCCTGCCTTGGCATTGCTCCAGGTAAGACTGGACCAGACCTTTCATTGCAGTATTTGAGAAATGAGATGTGGACAGTACACCTTAGGGGTCACTCCCAGAATGCAAGGCCCAGTGATCTTCAACCTCACATGAAGACAAAGCAACTGCTTTCTAGTTAATGAATCATTATCACACTATGGGTGGGAATGTAAGTTAGTATAGCTGTTATGAGAAATAGTATGGAGGCTCCTCAAAAAAACTAAAAGTATATCTACCATATGATCCAGAAATCCCAGTATTGGATATATACATCCAAGAAATTAAGTCATTTGTTGAAGAGACATCTGTACTTCCATGTTTATTGCAGCACTATTCACAATACAAAAAAAAAATAGAAGGAATCTATGATAAGTGATCATACATTTGATAAGTGGATAAAAAATATGGTACATAGACTCAGCAGAGCACTATTTTGCTATCACAGAAAAGATGAAATCCTCTCGTTTATGAAATCCTCTCGTTCCATCGTTTGGATGGAACTGGAGATCATTATGTTAAGTGAAATAAGCCAGACACAGAAAGACAAGTACAGTATGGCTATATGTGGAAATTAAAAGAGTTGATCTCATAGAAGTAGAGAATAAAGGGAGGGAGGAGAGGAGTAGGGGTAGGTTGATTAATGGGTACCAAGTTATATAGAGAGGAACAAGACGTCCTGGTGTGCTACAAAGCAGTACAATGATTATAGATAAAGACAAAGCACTGTATATTTCAAAACACTAGAAGAAAGGGTTTTACTGTCAAGAAATAATACTGCAGGAGGCATAAGGAGGATTGAGTTACAAGCAAGCCCTGGGGAATCTGAAAAAAGGGCTAGGGGGCATGGCTCAAGTGATAGTGTACCAACCTAGTAAGCTCAAAGCCCTGAGTTGGCATCCCAGTAATGTCCCCTAAAAAGAAGATAAATGTTTAGCCTGCTTTAAACATTATATGAGGGCTAGGAACATGGCTCAAGCTGTAGAGCACCTGCCTAGCAAGTAGAAAGCCTTGAGTTCAACCCCCAGTACCACCAGAAAAAACAAAGGAACATTACATGATGTATATCTGTATCCAGCCTTCACTTGGTAGCCCATAAATATGCATAATTTGTTTTTGTGGCACTGGGGTTTGAACTCAGGCCTCATGCTTCTAGGCAGGCACTCTACAGCTTGAGCCACTCTGTCAACCCTCTTTTGTGTTGGCTATTTTCAAGATAGGTTCTTGCAAACTATTTGTTTGGGCTGGCTTCAAACCACAATCCTCCTGATCTCTGTCTCTTGAGTAGCTAAGATTATAGCATGAGCCACCAGAACCCAGTTACAATTTTTGTTTTTATATGTCTGTTAAAAATAAATTTAAATTTAAAAGCATTATGAATAGTTGAGTGCTACTTCAAGAAATGAATTCTCTAAAGAATGATAGGTGGGGTGAATTCAACCATGATATATTGTAAGAACATTTGTAAATGTCACAGTGTACCCCCAGCACAATAATAATATGATAAAAAATGAAATAAAGAAGTGAATTCTCAGCAATAAATTTGAATTCAGATGTACCTCAATAGTGTTAATAATTAAAATATGATACATCTATACAATGAAATATATGTACAAATCATGAAAAAGAATGAAATACCTCTATAGGCACTAAGATTATACCTTCAGAATATCTCATTAATGAAAAAAGAAAAATGCAGAACTGCTTTTTGTTTGGTTTTTAGAGAATAATCATACATGTAAGTATATATGTTCTTGTTAACATTCAGACTTTCTCTGGAAGAAAACAAAAACAAAAATCAAAAACATATATACTATAATTAGTAGATTTGACTGGCTACTGCAAGAAACTACTTGTTTCTCTTTTGGAAACAAGGGTGAAATTTATTTACATAGTATTCCCTGTGGTCTGAATGTTTGTGTCTCCCCAAAATATATGTGTTGAAATCCTCATCCTGGAGGGTGAAGGCATTAGGAGATAGGAACTTTGGGTAGTGATTGAATTCTTGGGTAGAGTTCTCACAATGGATCAGTGTCCTTACAAAAGAGCCTAAGAAAAACTTCTTGCCCATTTCATCACGTGAGGTTAGAATAAGATGAAAGTACCTCACTAGGCACCATCTGTAGTCGGGGCCCTCATCTTAAAACTCCCCACCTCCAGAGTATAAGAAATAGATGTCTGTTGTATGTCAGCTACCCAGTCTTTGGTGTTTTGTTAAAGCAGCCTGAACAAATAAGTATTATTTAAAATTTTATACAACAGCATGCATTCTCTTTTCAAAAAGTATGTTACTATCTTTTTAAAGACTTCATATCTTTCTATCAGAACTGTATTTGCCATAAGAATGTACTATGTATTAAGCCTATGTATTAATATTTTAAAATAAAACAAAAATATTGAAAAGCCTCTGGAGGCAAAATCATAGGAAATAGTTCAGTTCTAGAGCCAAGCCTGTTTCCAGACAGTGTGGGCAGGTGTGACTCAATTATGCTCACTTCCTGATTTGCCTCCAACTTCCCTGCCTGGCCTAGCGGGCCCCTCCATCTGCTTAAGTCTTATGCCACCCAGCACAGAAGGCAAATAAATGGATACTATTTGAAAGATCAATATCTGAATAAGATAGCTGAGGTGAAGTATAGGCAATGCTTTTCTTAAAAATATAGCAAAAGGATTTTTTTTTCCTTTACCTGCATGTTAAAATTTGATATCTCGGGATTGACTCAATGAGGCTGAAATAATTACATGGAAATCAAGTTCATATTACAAGTGAAAGTATTTTCATGAACACAGCTCACAAAAGACTTGGCTCACACAAAGGAAATGTAAATCAAAACCACATTAAGATTACATCTCACTCTTGTTAAAATAGCTACCAGCAAGAGCATAAACAGCAACAAATGTTGGCGAGGATGTGGGAAAAAGGAACCCTCATACACTGCTAGTGGGAATGTAAGCTAGAACAACCACTATGGAAAACAATATGGAGGCTTCTTAGAAAACTAAAAATAGAACTTCCATACGATCCAGCAATACCACTTCTAGGGATAGTTCTGAAGGAATGTAAGTCAGGTTACAGCAAAGGCACCTGCACACCCATGTTTAATGTAGCACTATTCACAATAGCTAAGCTGTGGATACAACCAAGGCGCCCCACAACTGATGAATGGATTAAGAAAATGTGGTATTTATACACAATGGAATTTTATTCTGCCACAAAGAAGAATGAAGTTTTGTCATTTGCAGGTAAATGTATGGAACTGGAGAACATCATCTTAAGCAAAGTTAACCATACTCAGAAGGCCAAAAATTGCATGCTCTCCCTCATATATGAAATATAGAACTAATAAAAATGCAGCAATATTATGAAATACTGGTTATACTAAGGGGAGATCATGCACAGGAGGTGTAGAGTAAAAGAAGGAAACTCAGAACTTGAATATGGTTGACATGTTCTTTATAGAACAATGGATATAGAGACCTTAAACTGGCTGAAACCACCATAAGAAAGGAACTAAGGTAGAATGAAGAAAATTAGAGGAGATAAACCAATTAGAATTACAAAACATCTATACATAGAACTATCACAAAGCAACTCCCTGTGTAGCTACCTGTATCTCAAACAAGCAAAAATGTCATGTTTTTCTTTTTAACTTTTTTCTTCTACAAAATCAGAGAACACAAGGGCAGAACAGGTCCTGCCCAGCAGTGAGGGTTGGCACCATTGGTGGGGGTGGGGATGGCGGAAAAGGGAATTGGAGGGTGAATATGGCAAAAAAAATGTGCACACATGTATGTAAATGCAAAAATGATACCTGTTGAAACTGTTCCAGGAATCAGGGGAGAGGGGATGAAGGAGAGCAGTGGAGGGAGCAAATTCAAGTATGATGTATTTGATACATTGTAAGAACCTTTGCAAATGCCACAATGTATTCCCACCCAGCACAATAATAAAGGGGAAAAAAACTCTGCTCAGACACCCAGTATTCACTTTGTCTCTTTTTTCTTCTAGAATGCAAGACATAATTTAGAAAGGTAAGTTTTCATTTTGGAAACATTGGGGCAGAGTCAAGACTCCTATATATATGTTCTACACACAGGGGTTAGACATGTTGGGTAGAAATGGGGATGTCATATCTACTGATGGGAGGTAAGGAGATCTGTCCCTTAAATGGTGGGGCCTGTGGTCTGTGAAGAGACTGCAGTAAATGCTCTTTTTTTTTGTTGCTGTTTTCAATAGAAGTGAGTCACTACTGCTTCAGTGCCTGGAACCTGCTCCTACCACAGACCTGAGTTCGTGTCAAATAAAAGGAATGAGCAGAATGCTAGCAGTGCTCCAAAGTAAGTTGCCACATATCCATGAGTACATAATACTTTATGCTTGAGAATCAAGTGATCAGACTAGCATAAGTAAAAGTAAATTCAGTAGTTTGAAGACTGGAAAATTATTGTGCTGCATGCATCAGCCAACTGTCAGGAAAATATGCGAATTTCCTATGCAAATTCTTTACTGCTTTCACAACCTAAAACATAATTTCAGGCAGATTATACTACTTAAAAATTTTAAATGTTTTTTGGGGAGTACTGGGGTTTGAACTCAGGGCCCACACCTCGAGCTACTCCACCAGATCTTTTTTTTTTTTCCTTTTATTATTCATATGTGCATACAAGGCTTGGTTCATTTCTCCCCCCTGCCCCCACCCCCTCCCTTACCACCCACTCCGCCCCCTCCCGCTCCCCGCGCCCCAATACCCAGCAGAAACTATTTTGCCCTTATTTCTAATTTTGTTGTAGAGAGAGTATAAGCAATAATAGGAAAGAACAAGGGTTTTTGCTGGTTGAGATAAGGATAGCTATACAGGGCATTGACTCATTGACTTCCTGTGCGTGGGTGTTACCTTCTAGGTTAATTCTTTTTGATTTTTGATCTAACCTTTTCTCTAGTTCCTGGTCCCCTTGTCCTATTGGCCTCAGTTGCTTTTAAGGTATCTGCTTTAGTTTCTCTGCGTTGAGGGCAACAAATGCTAGCTAATTTTTTAGGTGTCTTACCTATCCTCACCCCTCCCTTGTGTGCTCTCGCTTTTATCATGTGCTCAAAGTCCAATCCCCTTGTTGTGTTTGCCCTTGATCTAATGTCCACATATGAGGGAGAACATACGATTTTTGGTCTTTTGGGCCAGGCTAACCTCACTCAGAATAATGTTCTCCAATTCCATCCATTTACCAGCAAATGATAACATTTTGTTCTTCTTCATGGCTGCATAGAATTCCATTGTGTATAGATACCACATTTTCTTAATCCATTTGTCAGTGGTGGGGCATCTTGGCTGTTTCCATAACTTGGCTATTGTGAATAGTGCCGCAATAAACATGGGTGTGCAAGTGCCTCTGGAGTAACCTGTGTCACAGTCTTTTGGGTATATCCCCAAGAGTGGTATTACTGGATCAAATGGTAGATCGATGTCCAGCTTTTTAAGTAGCCTCCAAATTTTTTTCCAGAGTGGTTGTACTAATCTACATTCCCACCAACAGTGTAAGAGGGTTCCTTTTTCCCCGAATCCTCGCCAACACCTGTTGTTGGTGGTGTTGCTGATGATGGCTATTCTAACAGGGGTGAGGTGGAATCTTAGTGTGGTTTTAATTTGCATTTCCTTTATTGCTAGAGATGGTGAGCATTTTTTCATGTGTTTTCCGGCCATTTGAATTTCTTCTTTTGAGAAAGTTCTGTTTAGTTCACTTGCCCATTTCTTTATTGGTTCATTAGTTTTGGGAGAATTTAGTTTTTTAAGTTCCCTATATGTTCTGGTTATCAGTCTAGAAATCTGTCCATTTCTTTTAGATTTTCAAATTTATTTGAATATAGGTTCTCAAAGTAGTCTCTGATGATTTCCTGGACTTCCATGGTGTTTGTTGTTATCTCCCCTTTTGCATTCCTAATTCTATTAATTTGGGTTTTTTGTCTCCTCATTTTAGTCAGGTTTGCCAGGGGTCTATCGATCTTGTTTATTTTTTCAAAGAACCAACTTTTTGTTTCATTAATTCTTTGTATGGTTTTTTTGGTTTCTATTTCGTTGATTTCAGCTCTTATTTTTATTTTTTCTCTCCTATTTGTTTTGGGATTTTCTTGTTCTTGTTTTTCTAGGAGTTTGAGATGTATCATTAGGTCATTGATTTGTGATCTTTCAGTCTTTTTAATATATGCACTCATGGCTATAAACTTTCCTCTCAAGACTGCCTTAGCTGTGTCCCATAGGTTCCAGTAGGTTGTATTTTCATTTTCATTGACTTCCAGGAACTTTTTAATTTCCTCTTTTATTTCATCGATGATCCATTCTTCATTAAGTAATGAGTTATTTAGTTTCCAAGTGTTTGCATGTTTTTTGTCTTTACTTTTGTTGTTGAGTTCTACTTTTACTGCATTGTAGTCAGATAGTATGCACGGTATTATTTTTATTTTCTTATATTTGCTGAGGCTTGCTTTGTGCCCTAGGATATGATCTATTTTGGAGACGGTTCCATGGGCTGCTGAGAAGAATGTATATTGTGTAGAAGTTGGATGAAATGTTCTGTAGACATCTACTAGGTCCATTTGATCTATTGCATATTTTAGATCTTGGATTTCTTTATTGATTTTTTGTTTTTTCCAAATAGGATCTCATGAACTATTTACCTGGGCTGTCTTCAAACTGCAATCTTCCTGATATCTGCACCTCTATAATCTCTAGTTAGGATTATAGGTGTAAGCCACTGGCACCTCACTAAAAATTTTAAACTTCTGCTGGTTACCAATGGCTGTACCTGTAATCCTAGCTACTTTGGAGGCAGAGACCAAGAGGATTATCATTCAAAGCCAGCCCCTGGCAAATAGTTTTCAAGACCCATTCTTGAAAACCCATCACAAAAAAAAAGGGCTGGTGGAGTGGCTTAAGTGATAAGAGCACTTACTTAGCAAGTGCAAGGCCCAGAGTGCAAACCCCAGTGCCATAAAAAAAGTAAACTGTAGAAAAATTTTAACATGTATAACAAAAGATTGATATTTCCTGTCCCTGTAGTTCTACTTTATTGATAGAGTCACACAGTGATCTTTTGAGTCTGGTTTCTTTCCCTTAGCATAATACAGTTGATATACATCCAAGTTGTCTCATGTATCAGCCATATGTTCATTTTTATTGTTGGTGATATTCTATTATATAAATATGTCATAATTTATTTATCCTCCCGCCATGCCATGTTCATGCCATGAACACTTGGATTATTTCCAACTTTATGTTATAAATATTTACATACAGATTGTTCTGTGCTTGACTTCATATACTGGTTAATTGTCTAGTAGTGGGATTGCCAAAACTGTTTTCGAAACTGCCTGTATGAGTACTCTCATAAATCAGTAGGTGTGAGAGATTCAGTTACTCCATATTCTCTCCAGCATTTGGGCCTGTCAATTTGTTTCATTAGATGTAGCCCAACTGAGGTGTACTGGTGTCTCACTGGAATAGCTAATGATTTTCATTGTTTATTTACCCTTGTATTTCTGCTTTGAAATATACATACAAACTTTTATCCCATTTCTTAAACTGAGATACATACCTTCTTACTGGGTTTTAGAGTGTCTTTATATCCATCTATCACTTGTTTATCAGGTATGTTTTTGCATACTGCTCTATATTACCATTTTCCTACCATTGTCTTTAGAAGACTAGCAGTGGGGTTTTTGTTTAGCTTTGGTTTGGGTTTTATTGGGAGGGGAATGTGGTTGGTTTTTTAGATAGGGTCTTGCTGTGTAGCCCAGGCTGACCTCAAATTCATAATCTTCCTATCTCCACAACATGAGTGGTAGGACTACATATACACACCACAATGCCTGGTGAACCCAAGGCTTTTTCATGCTAAACTTGTGCTCTTATCACCAATCTACATCCCAGACACTTATTATTTTGTACATGGATATTCAGTTGTTTCAGTACAGTTTGTTAAACACATCATCCATTCTCCATTAAACTTATTTAGCATCTTTGTTGAAAGTCAATTGACATTTATGACCAGGTCTGTTGATCACTGAGTCTATCTTTTTGCCAACACCACACTGGCTTGATGATAACTCTATCAGAAGTCTTGAAAGCAAGTACTGTGAGTTTTCCAAATTTATTCTTTTTCAAAATAGCTTTTGCTACCCTAGGATCTTTGCTTTTCCACATTAATTTTATATCAATTTGTTGACTTTTCAAAATAAAACTTCTGGAGTTTTGGTTGGTACCACATTGAACATGTAGATCAATTTGGGGAGAATTGGCATCTTGATATTAAGACTTCTTGTCCAGTACACATTATATCACCATTTATTTAGGTCTTTGATTTCTTCCACAGTGCTTTGTAGCTTTCAGTATATAAATGTTACCTGTATTTTATAAAATGAATTTATGTTTTATGTTTTCACTGCTACTATAAATATATTTTAAATACCAATTGAAATTGAAATTTTATCTATTTCTATTTTATTGCTACTATATAAAAGTGGCATTGATTTAGGTATATGACATTTGCATCCAATATAAACTCATTTTTTTGAGGGGGGAGAGTTTGGAAGCACTGTGGCTTGAACTCAGGGCCTCATGCTTGTTAGGCAGGCACTCTAACACTTGAGCCACTCCGCCAGCCCTTTTTTTTGTGTTGAGTCATTTCAAGATAGGGTCTGGAGAACTATTTATCTGAGCTGCCCTTGAACTGTAATCTTCCTGATCTCTGCCAGGATTACTGGAATGAGCTATCAGTGCCCAACTGGATTTTTTTTTACGTATAAACTGGAATTTTCCTCAAAGATAGTCATGTAATCTATGAGTATAACAGTCTCATTTCTTCTTTCCAGTCTTCCATATTTTTCTTGCCTTATTGTACAGGCTCAGCCCTGCAATAGGAATAGGAGTGGTGAGAATGGACTCTTACCTTATTCTTGACTTTAGGGAAAAAGCAGACATTTAAAATTTTATGTTAGGGCTGGTAGAATGACTCAAGTGATAAAGCGCCTGTTTAACAAGCAGAAGGCTCTAAGTTCAATCCCAAGTACCATCAAAAAAATTCAATAAAATTTTATGTTAGCTGTAGGGATTTTACAATTCTTCAACCAGCTAAAGAAGTTCTCCTGTATTCCTACTTTGCTAAAAAATTTTATCATGAATCAATAATAAGAACCTTTATGTATCTGTTGAGATGTTAATGCTTTTCTTAATCTGTTAATTGACAAATTACGTTGATTTATTTTCAAAGTTGAACAAGCCTTACATTCCTGAGATAAACTCTTGATGACATCTTACTGTTATGTATAATATTGCTGTACTCAAAATGCTAACATATGTTAAGAATTTTTGCATCTTAGTCAGGTGCTGGTGGCTCATTCCTGTAATCCTAGCTACTTAGGAGGTAGAAATGTGGTTTGAAGCCAGCCCTGGCAAATATTTCACGAAACCCTATCTCAAAATTAAGGGCTGGAGAAGTGGCTTAAGCGGTAGAGCACCTGCTTAGCAAGTCTGAGGCCCTGAGTTCAAACCCCAGTACCACAGAGAAAATAAAAAAGAAGAATTTTTATATCTCGATTCATGAGGGACATCAGTTTTTATCTTTCTTTCTTTCTTTGTAGTAACCCATATTAATATATTTAAGTTAATTCATTTTGCTTTTGATATGTGGATAGTCTATTTTGTTCTTTGTCAAATCTGTTTGAGTTTACATTTTAATTTTCTACATCCTATAACATTTTTTGGTGGTGGTTTGTGTGTGTATGTGCACCCTTGTGTGTTGGAGATTAAAACCACAGACACCTCATATTTGCTGAGCATAAGCTTTACCTCTAAGCTATATACCATCTCTGTATCTATAGATATTAAGATTTTATTTTTCTTCAGACATAGTAAGCAAAGTTGTATTAGAGTGTGTGTCTAATAATTCCAGTATGTAAAGTTCCTTATAGATTTATTTCTGCTAGTATCACTCAGTTGCTTTCTATTTTGTGGTACGTGTTTACTGATTTTTTGATAGAAAGTTTCGTTTTCTTCTTGAGCTACTGTTTTTAGAAATTCTTTGAGGCCAAAGTAGAAAAAAAAGAAAAAAAAAATTATTTGAGGCCAGGAATGAGGTGTGTATTTTTGCAGAGAGAATTTGCATTGTTTCAGCCCATCTTCGGGAGATACTAGGAATGTGAGACAACTTGCAATTTAAAGTTCAAGGTGTGTGGCTTGTGAGACTACTCTAATGATATGAATATGGCTGCCAGTCAAGGAATTTAAGTTAATTTAACTTGCCGAAGTTAAGTAACAGAAATTAAAGAACCAACTGCGGGATTAGATGCTAGAAGAAATAAGAAATACAGGACTACTCCAGTTTTATACCTTAATCAACTAAAGAAACATGGGTGCTATTTACTAAGAAGTAAGGATTGGAGAGGGATAGAGTTGGAGTTCCATTTTGGATGTATTGTGCTTCAAATTCCCTTTTTATATCCAACTAGTATTAACAGTTTTTTTATGGGGTGAGTCATGAACATACAGAGGATACTTAAAACTGAGGCTAGGTGAGGTTACTTGGGACAGAGATTGCAAATAGTAAAAAAGGATGTTCCAGGACCAAATCTTGAAAAGTCATAATACTTGGGGGTTAACTAGGAAGAGAGAAGGAACAGTATAAGATATAAAAAAGGCAAGAGTCATCTTCCTTCAAGTATGAGGAATCACAGTGAGCTTGCTTCTTGTTCTCTGTTTGATTTTCTGGATGATTCTCATAGATTTTCTAGCTACCTTTAATATGTTCTTTGATTTATTTAATATCAAGTGCCTGTTATCAGCAGTTTTAGGAATTTACATCACTCTTGGGATATTTAAGATGAGAAGAGTGATTAAGTCACAGGGAACAGCTGTAAATCAGCTGTTTTATTAGTGGACACTTGTGTTTCTGGCTATTTTAGGCTTGGAAAAGATCTTTAGGTGTCTAGACTTAGATCCCAGATGATACCTGGATGGGACTGGTACCAGGACAGTTTTACAGCCTGTTGGTTAAAGTACTTGCAAACCTCTCTTTGGCCCATTATTCTTTGTTTTGTTTCTCCCTCAGTAGGTTGTGTCTCTTTTCCATCATTGCATTGACTTCTTTTTTCCATAGTGTTCATTTATTGGAGTAAAGCTTATAAGACTCCTTTTGCTGGGTTCTTCCGATTTGTCTTTGCCATGTCTGTGCCTCAGACTTGTGTCCACCCATTGGGAAGCCCCTGTAAGTGAGAAATCATGCTGGCATTGGCTTCGCTGCACCCCCCTGGGTTAACTAATTATGTCTCTCCCTGCAGGAAATATAACTTTGGATCCTGAAACAGCTCATCCCTACCTGCTCTTATCCAAGAACCTGAGCAGTGTAAGAATTGCAAATACCCAACAGAATGTGCCCGGCAACCCAAACAGATCTGACTTTAGTGCCACTGTGCTGGGTGTGGAAAGCTTCACCTCAGGGAAGCACTATTGGGAGATAGAAGTGGAAAAGGCCACCAAATGGCAGTTGGGCATATATAACTCTGCAGACAGAAAGAGCAACCAGATGGAAGCTTCTGGAAATAAACTGTTACTCATGAGATCCATGATGGGGACTGATTACACCTTCTGGGTCTTTCCCCCTTTAAAAAAGGTCTGTGTGAGAAAGCAAATGCACAAGGTTGGAGTTTTCCTAGATTATGAATATGGGCTGATATCATTCTACAATGTCACAGATAAATCTGTCATTTATAATTTCTCTAATCTCACCTTCCAAGGAGCCGTTAGACCTATATTTTCTCTTTGCATTCCAAATGGAGACCTGAATTCAGATTCTCTCGCTATCTGCCCCCCTCATTTTCCTTCCTGAAATGTTGTTAGCTCTCCGTCTTCCTTTGTGTGAAATCCAAGATCACAAGAGACCAGAAAATTAAGACCCTGTGAAAGAATTTATATAAAGTAATTTGATATTATACCCAAGATCCTTTGCATAAATGTAGCTTTCAATACCAGTTTAATAGAAGAGGTTGCATTATGAATGATAATATAACTGAAAAACTTAAACCTAATTAGAACAACAAATGCATACACATCATAAGACTGAGATATTAGACAAGAATATGGACTGATTTCCTTAGAACAAGAATAAGTACTCTGGACACACTTTGGAAAAACAGTGACAGTATTAAGTATAATCAAGAATAAAAGCCAGAATGATTTGAGTCTATCTCCTAGTGCATATTGAATGGAAACTGATCTTGTTATAGACATTGAGGCATCCTATTGCTGACAGTGAATATCAGGACTTCCTAACACTTATCATTCCATATAGAGAATAATTTAATTTCCCTGCTTATTTTATTGGGGTAACAAGAAGGTATTATAGAAAATGTGAATATTTTAAAATTATTTTTCAAGTATTTTTTCAGCTTTTCTTTTTGACAAGGAAAATTAAATTCCTTAAAAGAAGCCTAGCCTGAAAGTTCAATGCTTCAAAATACATAAGTGATATTGTAATGATTTCTTGTATCTGTTCTCTTTATTTGGAGTTCCACTGAAAGGTATTGTGTTATCCACTAAAAAAACTACATCTTTGCTCAGGAGGGATTATGTAATGCTGAGAAGAAAAAATACTGTAGACAAGCTTTTATGTCAACTATTTACCATACTTTATCTCCCTTATTATTTTTAACATATTATATGTACTATGGGGGCAGGGGGGGAGAAATGAACCAAGCCTTGTATGCACATATGAATAATAAAAGAAAAAAAAATGTTATATGTACTAATCTTATTACTTGAGTTCTGAAATTGATATTTCAGAGAGCTAACTTAATTTTCCTGAAGTCACAAAGCTGTTAGGTACCTAGTAACATGAGTAAGGAATTAAACCAGGCATGGTAGTACACACCTATAATCCTAGCTACTCAGGAAGTGAAGGCAAGGGGATTGTAAACTTAAGTCACAAGTTCAAGGCCAACCCAGAAAAGTTAACAAGACCCTATCAAAACCAAAATAGAAACAAAGGGGTGGGCTGCATAGCTCAAGTGGTAACTTTGAGCTTAACTTTGCTACTTGCCTGGCAAATGCAAAGCACTGGGTTCAATCCCTTGTACTAAAAAGGAAAGGAAAGAGAAGGGTAGAAAAGGGAAAGGAAGAGAAGAGAGAAAGAAGTTAAATCTAGATGGTCATAAAAAAAGCAAGCTTTGTCTTGAATCCTATTGCAAAGAAATAAGATTCCTATGAGCACAATTAGGTAGGACAGTGGGTCAATTTTATTCAAATTTCCCAAACATACAAGCCAGTTTCTATAGGATGAGAAAGAAGCTACATACTATTGTATAAGTATTTTAGGATGGGCAGACTAAAGAGAAAACAAAAGACAAACAGAAGAAAATTGCTTCCATTGAGTTATGGAGGTCTTGGGAAGTATAGAATCTTGCTTACCTGTCTTTTAGTTGACTTCAAGGAATTTTCAGTTTGCATCTAAAATACTGATTTTTTTAGTAATTATGTAAGTTTGGGAAAAGTCATTGTACACCTTTGCACTGTGTCCCGAGAGGACCTGGGGGAAAAGTGGTCCTGCTCTGAGAAGGGGGCTGTGTTTGATCATTGATTGGGAAGTGAGGTAATTATTTAAAATACTGAGAATAAGAATTCAGAACAGTGGTTCTCAACTCCTTCCCAATATCCTGAGGAAAAGATAATGATGATTTGTTGTAAGATAAATGTGATAGGATTTAGCACTAAGAGTCCATATGATAAAGTTTAAAATCCCATATGTACATATCTCCATGTCTATCTGTTGAAAATTGTCAACTAAAAAATTTTGAATCAAACATTTACATTGTCATACAACCCACAACAATTAAACTTGTTTACAGTGAGCTAGACCATCTGTAAATTGGACCCATGGTTCTCACTGGGGATAATACTGCTCTACCACTCACCAGCCCTAGAATAGTTAGCAATGTCTGGAGGCATTATTTGGACATCATGACTGCAAGAGAGTACTACTGGATCCTAGTGGGTGGAGGCCAGTGTGTTGCTATCTGTCCTACAGTGCACAGCACAAGGAATAATTTGGCCCAAAGTGTAAGTAATGTTGAAGTTGAGAAACCCTGAGTTGGACAGCCAATTATTGTAAAAAGTGGGAATAGTGAACTGTGAAAACTCTAGTCATAGAGAACATAGTTATACCATTATCTGCATCCTTTCTCCAAAGTACAAGAATCCCAGCATATTATCCATCTAGTGAGATGGATATCCATCTAGTGAGATGAGCTTTGCAAGTTATTTGTCAATAGTCAACTATCTTAGAATATTGAATTCAAGACTAAAGGAAAATTAATGTATTGACCTTAATTTGTAAATGCCATAATTAATAAGTACCTGTACATTAAATAGACTTTGGTCAGAACTCTATATATTTTTGGCATTCATAATATCCAAAAAACTCCAATTTAAATTGGTACCACACTCTGAAAGATCCCCCTTTAAAACCTCAGAGCCCTATAAATACTTTTCTTTGGGTTCTCCATTTTGAAACAGTAAAACTGTCAAGGCTGTGTTCTCCATTACTACAAAAGCCTAATTTATAAGCTTTGTTTTATCAGGAGTCCTTTGGATGATCTTCTGAAGGTCCAATAGTCAACATTTTTCATCTTTTCAGCAATGAACTACAAATTCACCTTCACCTATACAGATTATTTCTCCTGTTACAATAAACCAGTTTTTTTCTACCTTATCTCTAGATTCCTCTAGACTTTTAGGAAATCCTAGTCTAGAGATCATGGGTTGGTAAACTTTTTCTTCAATAAAATGTATCACTAATATTTTAGGTTTTACTGACCATTTTCTCTCTATTGACACTATATTGCTCTAGTGCAGAGGGCCTTGGACTGTATGTAAATGAACTTGTGTGCATGTCTTCCAATAAAATTTTATTTACAAACACAGAGTTTGACAGTCTTTACTATACATTACTCCCTCTTTCTTTTCAGTACTCAAACTACTCTTCCTATGGGGTCTTATAAAATTGATTTGAAAAAAGTCAGTATTTCCTTTTTATAAAACCCATTTTTAACTCTGCAAATTCCTCTCGCTGCTGCTTAATTTTACCACCTCTTAACTTACAAAAAAAGGGACTGGAATATGTTCTGTGTTTGTTGGTATATGCCATCCACTCCTAAGCAGATGCTCTTACTTCTGAGTCACTCCACCAGCCCCAGCCATCCACTTCTGAATTCAGTCTAATCTGCTTTCTGGCCATATTTTTCTACCTACAAACTTCAATAATGGCTTTCATATTGCAGAATCCAATGGCTTTTATTGTATTTTCACATTATTGGACCTTGCTTATTACTTTCAGCAGTAGTCAATGATATTAATTCTTTACTCTTCAACAAATTCTCCCTTGACTTGTAGGTCATGGCATTATGCTCATTTTGCTCCCGCCCTTGTGACTGCTGCTGCTGTTACCCTTCTGGGTAACCATCAATGTTGATGTGCTTTTCTAGGACCTTACTTCTCACTTATGTGTCTTATGTGAACCTCATGCTCATAGCTTAAATCACTTCCTCACAAATGATTCTTAAATTTATAGTTCTAGTACAAATACTTGGTGTCTTACAGATGAAAATTGGTTCATGGGAGGTGAAAAAACTTAAGATATGAAAGTGGTTTGTGTACTCCACAGGGGCCTGATACATAAGCAGATACTCAGTGGTTGTGGAATTTCATAAGAGAGAGGGTGATTGGGGGGAGAAGTCTCAAAAAGTCTTTGGAATGCAATAATAACCAAAAAAAAAAACCCAAAAAAACAAAAAAAAAGAGAGCGGGAGAACCATTGCTCCAACTACAGGTTGCTCCTTTGCTCTTTCCTGCTGTGCCTACTTGTCATCCTGTGTTCCCAGAAATATTACTTGCCAACGTACTTCAGAGTTAACTGCTTTCCTCTATCTTTTCTACCACGATCTAGAACAGCTCTCATTGTTTGTCTGGTTTCTCCATCTCACTGCTAACACTTTCAAGTTTCATAGTGAGCTTTTTGAATTATGAATCAAATAATGTCATCATACTGACAGCACCCTTCAATGACTTCTCAAGATCCTAGAATGAAAGCAAAACCCATTCCTCAGGTCCTGAATGATCAGACCACTTGTCTGTCTCTCTTACCTTATCTGAAATCAAATTTCTTCCACTTCTGCACCCTGACTTTTAAGAACTATAATCCAAAACTTAGAAACCAAAGGACAATGCAACATGTCCTTTTGATGTCACACTCAGACATCATCTAACATACACACAAGGTTTATTTCAATTCTCTAGGAGAACTTAATTGTGCCGGACTTTGTTATTTACCATTTGATGAGGATCTAGACACTGAATTTGTATGTTAACATATGTTTGTTTGGTAGAAAAGACAAAGATTTGGTTTTATTGCCCTGAGGGTATTAACCAGATATATATCTAACCTAAGAAATCTTTTTGATTAGGTTTTTATATTTTTGGGGTGGTGATAGTGGTAGCTGTTTTAAGACAGGGTCTCCTATTTAGCGCAGGCTGGCCTCCAGCTGAATCCATACCCAGGCCGTCCTTTGAACTCATCTCCTGCTTTCACCTCCTGAGTGCTTGGATTACAGGCATGGACCACCAAATCTGATTTAACCTAAGTAATCTTATTTTCAACATTCTTTTGCATGCTTGATGGTCTGTATAAATCTCTGATTTTTCATTCCTCTTTGAACAAGCTTTACTATCTGACTAGTCACTATATTAAATATCTCTGACACATGTCCACCTGCATTTGTATGAGGCTCATGCTTTTAAGCTTTTGATAATATTTTGACACTGCTCACTGACCTGAAC